CACTTTAACTCTACCCACATGTACATATTACTTCAACTACCTCAACTAGTGTCACGCCCTGGCTCTGGGGACTCTTATATGTTGAGCCAGGGTGTGGATTGTCTATGTTGTATTTTCTATGTTTTGTTCTAGTTCGTGTAAATCTATGTTGGCCAGGGTGGTTCCCAATCAGAGGCAGCTGATTCTCGTTGTCTCTGATTGGGAACCATACTTAGGCAGCCTGTTTGGCACAGTTAATTGTGGGATCTTGATCCGTATAGGTTTGTGTTATTAACCTAGGACTTCACGTATCGTTTGGTTTGTTGTTTTTGTTCGTGTGAGTACGTTCAATAAAATATGTACGGCTATCACGCTGCGCCTTGGTCCGCTTCACATAACGATCGTGACAACTAGCCGGTGCCCCAGCACATTGACTCTGCACCGGTACCCCCCTGTATATATAGCCTCCCTACTGTTATTTTATTTTACTTCTGCTCTTTTTTTCTCAACACTTTTTTGTTGTTGTTTTATTTTACTTTTTTATTAAAAATAAATGCACTGTTGGTTAAGGGCTGTAAGTAAGCATTTCACTGTAATGTCTGCACCTGTTGTATTCGGCGCATGTGGCCAATAAAATTTGATTTGATTTGATTTGAAAGTAGTGTCGAAACCTACCAAAAATCTATTAGGCAACAACAAATTCAATCCCTTTTAGACAACTTCCTGGACAAAACGTTCCACTGTAATAGTGAAGGTGTAAACTTGGCAGTAGAAAACCTAAACATCATATTTGACCTCTCAGCTTCCCTATCAAATCTAAAAATCCCTAACAGAAAACCGAAGAAAAGTAACAACAGTGACAAATGGTTTGATGAAGAATGCAAAAACCTAAGAATGAAATTGAGAAACCTATCCAAACAAAAACATAGAGACCCAGAAAACCTGAGCCTACGCCTCCACTATTGTCACGGCCTGGCTCTGGGGACTCTTAAATGTTGAGCCAGGGTGTGGACTTGTTATGTTTAGTTTTCTATGGGTTTTGTTCTAGATCGTTTATTTCTATGTTGGCCAGGGTGGTTCCCAATCAGAGACAGCTGTAGCTCATTGTCTCTGATTGGGGACCATACTTAGGCAGCCTGTTTTCACTAGTTTATTGTGGGATCTTGTTCCGTTAAGGTTTGTTGTATTACCTAGGACTTCACGTATCGTTTTATTGTTTTGGTTCGTGTGTGTACGCAATAAAGTATGTACGCCTATCACGCTGCGCCTTGGTCCGTCTCATCTTCCTGTAATGATCGTGACAGAAGATCCCACCATAAAAGGACCAAGCAGTGTGCCCAGGAGGAGAAGCTGGCGATGGCTCAGGTGGGCGAATGGTGGTCATGGGAGGACATATTCGCGGGAAGAGGGCCATGGGCAAAGGTAAATGCCCAGGCAGGAGAGGAGAAACGGCGGCAACCGTGCCGACGACGGACACGCGAGAGGCAACCCCAAGACATTGTGGGATCTTGTTCCGTTAAGGTTTGTTGTATTACCTAGGACTTCACGTATCGTTTTATTGTTTTGGTTCGTGTGTGTATGCAATAAAGTATGTACGCCTATCACGCTGCGCCTTGGTCCGCTTCTCATAACGATCGTGACAACTATGGTGAATCACTAAAACAATACAGAAATACACTAGGGAAAAAGAAGGAACAGCATGTCAGAAATCAGCTCAATGTAATTGAAGAATCCATAGACTAACCACTTCTGGTTAAATTTGAAAACACTAAACAAACAACAACACGAAGAGCTATCTATCCAAAACGGAGATGTATGGGTAAACCACTTCTCCAATCTTCTTGGCCCTATAACAAAGAACAAACAACAAAAAATATCCACAAGAATTCGAAAACAAACCCAATTTTGATAAACTCCCTTATCTATGAAAAACCACAGTGTGCCATCACGGCAGCAAGATTTGTGACCTGTTGCCACAAGAAAAGAACAAACATCATTGTAAATACAACCCGTATTTATGTTGATTTATTTTTCCATTTGAACTTAAACTATTTGTACATTGTTATAACACTGTATATATACATAATATGACATTTGAAATGTATTTATTCTTTTGGAACTTCTGAGTGTGATGTTTACTGTCAATATTTATTGTTTATTTCACTTTTGTTTACTATCTTGACTCCCGAGTGGCGCAGTGGTCTAAGGCACTGCATCGCTCTGCTAAATGACAAAACATTTAAAATCTACTTCACTTGCTTTGGCAATGTTAACATTCGTTTCCCATGCCAATAAAGCCCTTAGAGAGAGAGAGAGAGAGAGGTGCAAATGTACTTACACTTTTGTATTTCAACAACTCTTGTCTTCCAACTTGTTAAGCAATCAAATGTATCTATGGGGAAGGATGGCCAGCTACACAGGAGGGTGATTTTCACTAAAGAGGAAAAGGAGGCCATGCTGACCGTGATGCATGCTGGCAATTTCGGAGTGAAGCGCATGATTGCCATAATCAATCTAAGCCTATTCTGGCGTGGGACTGTCAAGGCGAGACAAAAATTGCTGCTATCCCCGCAAAGTAGAATAGTAGCCTATAGCCTATAGAGTGTCTGCCTGCAATGCACTTTTATGAAAGCCTATCCATGTGGTTTGTAAAACAGGAAATTGCATTGGTTTTATAGTCCTGATACCTGACAAAGACTTAGACTAATCATTTTGGCTATTCAAGCTCTGAATATCAGCCTTCCATTTTACTTTGACCTGTCCTGTTTTTAGGATATGGTGTGTTTGTTAACATGTTAATTCATATTCACATCGAAGCAAATGTTATTTGATTGGAAACACGCATGATGTAAAAACCGCCTGGATCATGACGTTGTCATAAATTTGGTCACCCTGTAGGCTGCAGAAAAGGCTACAGAGGCTATATACTCTTTGTTCCCTACAGGCTACATGATTTATTTTAGATGGCTTTGACGAAGGGTTGGTGGAGCGCGTGTCTCTCCAACAACACCATGGAGATGCGCGCTGGGCATGGACAAGATACACATTTTACACCTCTGCCAAACACATTATAGTCTTATAATTATAGTGTTCTTGAAAATATGCTGAAAATAATGGAAGGAACTGATGTGATGGTGTCTCAAGAGGGTTTGTTCAAAAAAGCATCCTTCCCCCCTCTCTTTTGTAAGGTAATCACTAATCTGTAGGTAATTGAAGAATCCACAATGAGCTGAGCTCTCTATGACCTGCACAGAGAAAATAAAATGTTTTGAGCACAACATACACTACATGACCAAAAGTATGTGGACACCTGCTTGTCGAACATCTCATTACAAAATCATGGGCATTCATATGGAGTTGGTCCCCCCTTTGTTGCCACTCTTCTGGGAAGGCTTTTCACTAGATGTTGGAATATTGCTGCGGGGACTTGCTTCCATTCAGCCACAAGAGCATTAGTGAGGTCGGGCACTGATGTTGGGTGATTAGGCCTGGCTCGCAGGCGGCTTTCCAATTCACCCCAAAGGTGTTCGATGGGGTTGAGGTCAGGGCTCTGTGCAGGCCAGTCAAGTTCTTCCACATCTATCTCGACAAACCATTTCTGTATGGACTTCACTTTGTGCAAGGGGGCATTGTCATGCTGAAACAGTAAAGGGCCTTCCCCAAAATGTTGCCACAAAGTTGGAAGCACAGAATCGTCTAGAATGTCATTGTATGCTGTAGTGTTAAGATTTTCCTTCACTGGAACTAAGGGACCTAGCCCAAACCATAAAAAACAACCACAGACCATTATTCCTTCAACAATCTTTACAGTTGTCACTATGGTAGCGTTCTCCTGGCATCTGCCAAACCCAGATTCATCCATTGGACTGCCAGATGGAGAATGCGTTTCCACTGCTCCAGAGTCCAATGGCAGTGAGCTGTACACCACTCCAGCCGACGATTGGCTTTGCACATGGTGATTTTAGGCTTGTGTGCTGTTCATGACGAACAGTTATTGTGCTGACGTTGCAATCCCGTTCTGTGAACTTGTGTGGCCTATCACTTCACGGCTGAGCCGTTGTTGCTCCTAGATGTTTCCACTTCACAATAACAGCACTTACAGTTGACCGGGAGAGAGAAATTTGACAAACTGACTTGCTGGAAAGGTGTTATCCTATGACGGTGCCACGTTGAAAGTCACTGAGCTCTTCAGTAAGGCCATTCTACTGCCAATGTTTGCATGGCTGTGTGCTCGATTTTATACACCTGTCAGCAACGGGTGTGGCTGAAATAGCCAAATCCACTAATTTCAAGGGGTGTCCACATACTTTTGTGTATATAGTGTATATTTTGTTTCACACACATTTTTAAAAACAGAACATAGACAGGATTACATAAGCCTACATGTCAAATGTAATTTCATGCGGTTTTAGAAACGAATTAAAATACTGTATCCTATTTTCTAGATCCACTACAAATTAGAGTCGGTCATACCACTACTGTGTGTAGGGGAAAAGCATAAGGCCACTATCCCTTGAATAAATTCAGGGACAAGAAGCTAATTTGAGCTTGCGAGGGTTATAAACTGACAATAAAAGGTGATTATGGAGGTAAAGATAAGCTGTGTTAATAAAAAAGTAAATTCACTGACAGCAGCCTGGAGAGTCAGGGAGTAGACATACACACCTCAGATGCTGTCAAAGACTCAGTCTACATTTTACATTTTAGTCATTTAGCAGACGCTCTTATCCAGAGCGACTTACAGTTAGTGAGTGCATACATTTTCTACTTACTCTACTTGCAAGGTGTGTGTCAAAGCATCTATTTGGAGAACAGTATAATAGAGATTGAGTTTCAAGTCCTTCTGGATGAATGACCTCCAAAGTATCCGATAAAGGAGGAACTGCTTCAGCATAGCTTGGCAATGACGATCCAGAAGAATGAGATGGAGTTGACCTGCTGACTGAAAGAAACTCAACACAGCGTGCACTTTTAGGCTGTGGATGCAGTAAATACTGAATATACACGGTCTATGACTGGAGATGAGGGTGGAACTCTCCTGCGGCTGCCCCTCTCTGGGTCTGAGCAGGGGCACTGCTTGTTTCTACCTGCTAGGGGCGCTCATTGTCCGCTACATGCTAGCTGGAGCTGCCGTCTTCTCTGCCTTTGAAAGGCCCGCCGAGCTAAAGGCTAACCACCACTGGGACCAGAAGATAGAGGAGTTCGGCCTTGAGCATGGGGTGAATCCTGAGGACCTGAGCACCCTGCTACTCCACTATGAGGAGGCCAACACAGTAGGTGTCCGGATGGTCCGTCACTGGCCCCACTGGGTCTTCCCAGGGGCCTTCTACTTTGCGGGCACTGTGGTCTCAACGATAGGTGAGTCAAGAGGCTGGATCTGGATGGACCATGTTACTGTGTCTGCTAATTCATCACCACTTACAGGGTTGTCCAGTCTAGATTATGTATTGATTATGTATATTATGTATATACTCCTGGAGGTATGCTGTACTTACATCCTCTTCAATGCCCTCTCTGTCATCATCAAACAGCGGCTGAACTGGATCCTGAGTCAGCTGATCCATCTGCGTAGCTGCCTGTGCCACGGCAGACCTCTACGATGCCCACTGTTTCCCATGTTCTTGCTAAACCTGGTGGATAAATGCTTGTGTGCTGATGCCACAGTGGAAACCCTGTGCCACAGGAACATGGACTTGAGCACTACCAAGGCAGGAAAGATGGGGCCACATGGGCACAGTCTTCCCGGAGGGGATGTCAAACATGTTGGACCACCATGACTGGTACGGTAGATCCTGACTGGAGGGACACTGGCTACAAAATATCTGGCATGGTTTACCTGCATATAGACAACACTGATAATTGAAGGTTTCATTTTTAATAATTGAGTTACCTGGAACCTTTTTTTCATCCTTAAAAAAAAAAGTAATATATCCTTATTGTAATCAATGTATCATGAAACCATTTTTACTCTAAACACTCTAGCAAATGTATTATTTGACATTTTCTCCTCGTCTCCTCTTAATAACATGATGTCAGACTACTACTACTACACTAGGCTACTGCAACGGTTTACATATTGACCAATTAGTAATTAGTCATAATATCTGAAATTAGCATATTCAAAACCAATAATAACACACAGCAAATTATTTATATTTGTTTAGGTCTGCAATGGATAAATCCAATTTGGCACAAATCAGTTTACAACCAGCCAATTACAAAACCGGGTATATCTCTTCACGTTTCTCTAGGCCAATAAGGATAAGCTCTTCTCATTACACCACCGTGGCATTGTGCGAATTACGGGGGATCCAGGGGGGCCTCAGCTCTCCTGAATGAGAGATTAGCGCCCTAAATAATGCTAATTTATCCATTCTCCTGTTTGTTTAAAATGCAGTGGTAAATATGTTTTACAGCGGTAAATATGAAAACAAAAGCTTCCAAATGAAACAAACACTCCCACCTCTCTGTTATTGGTTAAACCATTTATTTCTACGTGGCTGCACAAACTGTGTCCCTGTCCACGAATGGTACTGTAGAGTTCTATAACTGCACTCTGTAACGCTAAGCCGTCTGTGTTTGCTCTGGCATAGTTGGATGTGTTGTCACATTCACTAGCTAGACAGCATGCTTTGTCTTGTAAGCAGAGTCCAAGTACATTGCTGTGGAGCAAAACAAGCTTGTTTTTTTGTCCATAGCTAGCTAAGGGAAGTCACTCGTATTTAATACTTACCAACTCAGAGTTAGCAGATTCTCTTTGAAATTGGTCAAAGAGTATGTTCACAGATAGAACAATGAGCCAGATATTTCACCAGATGTATAAATGTCAAGCATCCGGTTGCCTTTTCCACTCACTATCATATATGGTGATGCACTTCCCAGAGTAGGCATTCCCTAACGGAAATATGCAAATAGATGCTAGAACACGCCAATGGGATCTCACTAGCTCGTGCTTGGCTCTGCCCAGCTCCTTTGCTCCCACTGGAAATGACAGGCTCTGGTCTACTGTATCTTGGGTCAGTTATAGAAATCTTTGGTATGTTTTATGAGTATCTTTTGAGTTGGCACATGTAAATGTTGTTGTCCCTCTGTTAAATGTGACCAGAACATTTTATGTATTTTATCTTTGGTTCCGCAGTAGACCACTCGACACAATCTTTGACACTGATGCTGCCTAGCAAATAAATGAGGTAGCACTCTAAAGTCGATGTGCACTGTACACGAAGGTGGTAGGCAGGCTTTGACTGTAGCTAGCCTGTTTACTGTAGTATTTGTATAAAAAATAAATAACTCCTCCTACTTGATTTTTCCTACTACTGGATCAAATGGAATTAGGCATCGTTGAATATAAAATAATGTGGGCTATTTTCAATTTCAAGTGACAATAATAATGATGATGCATTTGAATGTAAAGAATTGCAGCTTATAACAAGTGGGCCTTCAAAATACTTTTCAAAGTATATGTATGTGTGTGTGTGTGTGTGTGTTTGTGTTTGGGGCCTCACCCATCTGAGCGTGGTTCGGCTGTGACTTCCCCAGCCTACACTTAAGCTGGATTCTTAGGTTCTGACCGTCTCTACGACAGGATGTCTTGGTAAGAATAGGCGGAGGCTCTTACTGGCCCCTTTCAGGGATTTTATTAGTCAACTTCACCACCACACCACACACACCCACACCACACCAAATATTCTCTACCTTCCCTATGTCAAACCATAGGGTCAAGATACTGTATTGGATGGTTTAACTGCTCAATACCTGCCTTCATGCTTTTTCAATGGGCATGTTGTTACGCTACTTCTTTTAAACATTGTTTTCGATTTTAAAAAATCAATGGTACTGGAATGGTTCTCAGCTACCTTTGGTCAACTATAACTACTTCAGCATCACCACCACAAACAACGCGACACACACACTCTACCCATTCCAAACACAAAACTAATTTCCTACTTCCTGTCAAACCATAGAGCAACCATAGAGTTTGCAAAAAAACACATCCAAAATGCTATAAGTTATCACTGGTGAGGTCAGATATACTGTATTGGATAGTTAACTGCTCAATAGGGCTTTTATTCTTCTATCTTCACACACGCACGCACACACACACACACACACACACACACACACACACACACACAGTGCCAAACAAACCAAATATTCCTACATTCCTATGTCAAACCATATGGTCAGATATACAGTATTGGATAGTTAACTGCTCAATAACTGCATTCATGATTTTTCAATGTGTTAAGCTATGGTTAAACCCAGCACTCAGAGAAACAAAACATGACTAAGGGAGTGGAAGAAACAAAAATGCTTTTAATAAAAGTTCAATTTGTCTTAGTCCAAAAACAACTGAAGAAAAGGAACAGAGTGGGCTAGTCGGCTCCAGAGGAAGGAAAGGCTGAGGCAGGCAGGCAGGCAGGCAGGCAGGCAGGCAGGCAGGCAGGCAGGAAGGTTGGGAGGTATGTCTGAACGCTCTAGTAAGAACAACGATCTGGCGCCGGTGGAGAGCCATGCCCAGGAATTAGTAGTGCAGGTTGATGAGAGAATAGGATGCAGCTGCGTAGGCAGGAATCACTGGAAACAACCCGCAGCTGCACAGGAGAGGCAGATCCTGAGCACGCCCCCCAATCCACTCCAGACACACACCGGCAGACGCACCAACATAATGGGGACAAACACACATACAGATACAACAGACAAAGAGGGGACAAAACAAGGAGGAAGGGAAACAGAAAAGGGAGAGACAAGCTGCCCACATAACCGTACCCCCCCTCAATGGTCGCCACCTGGCGACCCACCAGGCCTGTCAGGGTTGTCGTGATGGAAGTCCGTGATCAGCTGAGGATCCAACACAAAACGCTTAGGGACCCAAGACCTCTCCTCAGGTCCATAACCTTCCCAATCGACTAGGTATTGGAGACCCCTACCCCGCCTCCGAGAGTCCAGGAGCCTACTGACGGTGTAGGCCGGATGGTCATCAATGAGGCGAACAGGTGGAGGTGGATCTGCCGGCGGACACAAAAGGCTGGAGGACACAGGTTTCAGTTGGGAGACGTGGAAAGTAGGGTGTATCTTCATGGCTGAAGGCAACTTCAAACGAACCGCAGCGGGGTTAACGATGGACTCCACCACAAACGGACCCAGGTACCGAGGAGACAGCTTGCGTGATTTGGTACGAAGAGGTACGTTCTTTGATGACAGCCAAACTTCTTGACCAGGATGAAACACAGGTGCGGGAGTCCTGCTCCTATCCGCTGTCGTCTTGTTCCTGTCGGTGGTCCGAAGCAACGCTTCCCGAGCGTCGCTCCACACTCTCTGGCAGCGGCGGAGGTTCTCCTGAACCGAAGGAACAGCCAATTCCTTCTCCTGAGCAGGAAACAGAGGGGGTTGATAACCCATGATTACTTCGAAGGGTGAAAGGCCGGTGGCAGAGGTGGTGAGGGAGTTGTGGGCGTACTCTATCCAAGGCAGATGTTTGGCCCAGGATGATGGATGTTGAGCAGCCACACAACGAAGGGTTGCTTCGAGGTCTTGATTGGCTCTTTCTGTTTGACCGTTGGTCTGGGGATGAAACCCTGAGGACAGACTAACGGAAGCACCCAAAGCAGAACAGAAGACCTTCCAAACACGGGAAGTAAACTGTGGGCCTCTATCAGATACGATGTCCACAGGTATTCCATGGGGACGGAATACATGTTGGACTAGGAGGTCCGCTGTCTCACTGGCATACGGTAATTTTGGTAATGCTATATAGTGAACAGATTTAGAGAATCTGTCCACAATGGTAAGTATAGTATCATTACCTTCAGACTTGGGTAGGCCGGTGAAAAAATCCATGGCTATGTGGGACCAGGGACGGCTGGGAACTGGGAGGGGTAGCAGCAGCCCCGAAGGGGCCTGATGGGAGGCTTTGCCCCGAGCACAGGTTGAACAGGCTGCCACAAAAGCCCGAACGTCAGTTTCCATTGAAGGCCACCAAAAATGTCTCTTAAGCAGCGTCAACGTGCGTCTCATCCCAGGGTGACCAGCAAAACGGGAGGTGTGAATCCACTGCAACACCTGAGACCGGACCGTCTCGGGAACAAAGAGTAGGTTGGGAGGTCCATCACCCGGTTCCGGGTCCGTGGCAAATGCAGTCTTCACAAGAGACTCGATCTCCCACTGTACTGCCGCCACGACGCATGAGGAAGGTAGGACTGCCTCAGGCTCGCTGGTCACCGAAGGGTCAGCAAACTGGCGGGACAAAGCATCTGGTTTAACATTTCTTGACCCCGGTCTGTATGTTAGAATAAAGTTAAACCTACTAAAAAACAGGGCCCATCTGGCTTGGCGTGAGTTGAGTCTCTTAGTGGCTTGGATGTAAGCCAAGTTTTTGTGGTCTGTCCAGACCACAAACGGCAGTTCAGCTCCATCCAGCCAGTGCCGCCATTCTTCCAGTGCTAGCTTGACCGCCAGCAGTTCCCGGTTTCCAACGTCGTAATTCCGTTCTGTGGGTGACAATTTCTTGGAGAAAAAAGCACAGGGGTGAAGCTTTTGGTCAGTGGGGGAGCGCTGGGAGAGGACTGCTCCCACACCTGAGTCAGACGCATCCACCTCCACAATAAACTGCAGAGAGGTATTGGGGTGTATCAACACGGGGGAGGTGGAAAACAGTTCCTTCAAAACCCCTACCGCCTGCTCCGCCTCAGGGGACCACAGAAAAGGGACTTTTGGGGATGTGAGTCTAGTAAGGGGTGCCACCACTTTACTAAAACCCTTAATGAATCTACGGTAG